TCTCCTTCTCCTTCTCCTTCTCCTTCTCCTTCTCCTTCTCCTTCTCCTTCTCCTTCTCCTTCTATAATTTTATTAGAAGTTTTAAAAAGAAAGATAAAAACTAATACAAACTAATATAAAGTAAGGAAGAAAAAAGAAAAAAAATCAAAGAGAAAGTTAAAAGTGCAAGAAAGGTAAAAAAAGTAAAAGAAAAATAGAAGAAAGATACAATGAAGTGGCTTCTGATCTTCTTTACAGCAGTTATATGTACAATTATAAATTTACCTCTTTCTCTAAAGTTACAACCTGTCTCCCTTCTTTCTATAACCTGTCCTGTCTAATCATAAGTTCATTTTGTTCTGTTATCTGCAAAAAGTCCATAAGGGGTTTCCAGTCAGCAATAAACATAGGTATTGTCTTTTCCCTAATCAAAGAAGTCAATATGGCCATCTGAATGAGTTCCATCATCTTCATCCACCGTTCCTCCTTTGTAGATATTGCTGAATCTTTCCATCTTTTCGCATATAATAATATTTCTGCATTTATCATATACGAAAACAAAGTTCCATGACTTTTTTCCACCTGTTTGTCTATCAGTCCCAAAAGAAAGACCTCTGGTCTCAACTGTATATTAATCTTTAAAATCCTCTGAATCCATGTACTGTGTGTATTTGAATCCAAAATTTTCTGGCTTTTTTACACGTCCATCAAGCATGATAAAATGTCGCTTCTTCTTGTTCACAATTCCAACATGAATTTTAAGTGCCTTTAAACATTCTGGACAATTTCCAACATGAATTTTAAGTGCCTTTAAACATTCTGGACTGGGGACATATACCAGTGGTACATCCTTTATAAAAACTCTCTTTAAGATTATAACATAGTGTAAATTTCAATCCTTTCAACCACATATTTTCCCATTGTTCCATCTGTATATTATAACCACATTTTAGCCCACTTTATCATGCATTCTTTCACTTGTTCTTCTGTTTCAAATTTCAGTAGGAGTTTATACATTTTAGCAATTGCATGTTCATCATTTGTACATAATTCCATTTCAAACTCAGTGTCACAGTGTTCAAAACCATAAGCTCTTTTGTCTACTTTAAATATTTGTAACACATTAGCCTTTTTCTGAGTAGGTACACTTCTGAAGAAAGTATTGGGCTGCAGCTTACCAGCTGTTCTGTTTTTTTTTTAAAGTGTCACTGGGTCCCATGCAGTATTTGTGAGAATGAAAGTGTTTCAGAAGATGAGATGTTGCTTTGCAGCATGCCAACTTCCCTTTTATGTTAAAAAAGGGGGGGAATCTTTAAAAATGTCAGGTGGAGTTGGGAATCTGGTGGCTAGGAAGGGCTTATTTTGCCATAGTGGTGCTCATGGGCACCACCCAGGGGCACCAGTACTTTCTGGAATTCTACCATTTAATTAACCCAAAATAAGTCAATCCCCACGGAAAGATTGATGGGTGAGAGATTGTTAACGAGATGATTGTAAACGAGGTAATTGTGTTTTAGTGCTAAGTTTCTTAAATCCCAAAACAATTCTATGCATGCATTTTCTTATCTCAAGCAGTGTCGTTTTGCTTTACCCACCAAGGCTTACATTTTCTTTCTGATTTTGATCCCGGTCCTGCTTCATCCTTGCTGCCTCACACTTAGATAGCCATTTTGAATAGAACCAGGTCTTTGTTACAAGTTAACATGTATTTAAGATTTATAGCTATGTGCCACTGCAGTCCCTTGGGGAAGATGGAGGATACTTCTGTGTAATAAGACTTGGTCTCGGTGAGCTCAATAAAGTGCTTTCCCTTGGAAGACCATATAGTATTTTCTGAGTCACTTGAGAGTATTCTAGGCACTGAATTGTTGGGTGAACTACTCACTATGCTACAATTCTTAACTCTGCCACTTGTGGTACTTGTAGGCCAGCTGCCCCCTTGCACATCCAGCATGATTATATTCTCCAGAGCTTCATCTGTCCAAAGAGAAGGCATCCATGGAAAGAACTGGATGTGTTGGTGTAGAAATCAGCACTGTGCCTGCATGAAGACATGGCAGGTCCTGTTTTTGCTTTTGTAGAGCAATAACGAAGATAGCAGAATGGAGTTGCTATTTGTGGCAGCCACCACAACCAAGGTGGAGGTTGTGTTATTTACACTGAATACGTTTATCTTGGTTTTTTTTTAAAGTTTATTCAAACTTACCTGCGTCTGCTATTGGTTTGCTTTAATCTTCAGGTTAACCCTGTCCTTCTCTGTCATGACTTATCATCTCCAAAAATAATGAATGTGTATGGAATTTCTAATGTACACTTTTGTCACTTGAGGAATGTCTGATCTTTTCCATAGGACTATGGAGTCAGCAGTAGTCTGTTCCAGAACCCAGCAAAACTCCATTTGACTATTGGGACACTGGTACTTCTGAATGAACAGGAAGTCCAGAAGGCTCAGGAACTCCTGCAGAGGTCTAGAGAAGACCTTGTTGAGTAAGTAAAACAGAAGCTTTGCAATAGAAGGGATAGAAGCAGCTACCTACATCTGTTCAAAGAGGAGGCATCCATGGAGAGAATAGATAGCAAAAATAGAGAATGGTAAGAAATTTAAAAAGTATATGCAAGCACCTACACTTATTTAAAGAGCCGGGGTCCTAATTGTGTTTTGTTTATGACATCAGTCAATAAACAATTTGTTAGAATCCCGATTGATTGATTGATTGATTGATTGATTATGTGCCATCAAGTTGGTGCTGATCTTACTGATAGTTGTTCTCCATGATGATCCGTCCCTAACCTGGTCCTTCAGGTTTTCCAGTGGTAGAATCTCTTTGCTTGCTGTTTTATTATTAATTTCTAGCTACTTTTTTCTTGCAGTGATTTTCTGCACAAGCAAAGAGTGATTTTGTTCCATTGAAGTTCATGAAAAATGTGATTACCTTACACTTTTGTACTAGCAGAGTGTTTGGCAAATAACTCTTTTCCCCCCAGATGGTTGTATATCCCTGAGATTCATTTCTTAAACAAGCTGTAGGCGGGGAGTATTGAAACTACACAACCTGTGTAAAAAATCAGTCCTAAAAACAATAGATCAGGTACTCTGTAGGGCAGAAGTTGTCATAAAGTACTACACAGAGGCATATGGTTTGAGATGTAGAATGATAAATAGAAGTCCTCTTCCCCCACCCCTCAATGCAGCTGTGTTCGTAATATTTTTGCAAGAACTTTCTGGTGCAGTGATTTCTAGCTTAGAATTCAGGATGCACCCTAAAGTTTACAAGTGAGTTCCTCTGTGATGAACCTGTTTTTAAAATTAGTAACATGAACTTCAGATGATGCAAAATGCAATTGATAAGAATGTGGATATTGCTAAAGGCAAGTCAATTGAAATATGTAACACCAGTGTAGCATAGTGGTTAAGGGGTTTTACTAGCATTCATGAGATCCATCCTCAGCCATGGAAGTTCACTGCATGACTTTGGGCCAGGCACCTTCTCTCAATTCAATCTGCTTCACCAGATTTGTTGGAAAAAATGTAAGGAGGGAAATGCTTGAGGACCTGAGCCAGACCCTGTCCCCAACTGTCCCAGACTCTGAGACCCTGTCCCCACTATCCCAGATCACTCGCTCAGACAGCCAACCTATGAACAGTGTCTGGTTGAATACCAGAAGGCAAAGGAGTTCCCAGAGTATTTGCCTATTAGGGAGAGCATCTTGGAAATGAAAGTCTATTTGAGTAAAGCCTGGGAGGTCTTGCAGAGAGATCAGGCTCAATAACTAGCAGCTAAGTGTGGGTGAGATAGCTGTAGCCTCAAGTATAAAGCTCTCTGAGATTAGATTATTGTTAGAAGTAATGTCTCTTCTTTATAACCCCAAGTAACTAGTTACTTACATGCCATGAACTGTGATTGCTTGACGTACTCTTCTCTGCCTGGTCCCTGACTTTTGTTCTCTTGCTTTTGCCCTCTGAAAAGTTGCTGAGATCGAGTTTAGCTCTTGACTTTTGACTTCTGGACCAATTTACACCCTAATCTAGGATTAGCGTATCTGGACAGGAGAAATCCATATTACTATTAGATGGCAGCAAAGAGTTAATGTGTTCTTTATATCATTGCTGCTGCCATCTAATGAGTGTCTGGATTTCTGCAATCTACATATGCTGGCCCTGGGATAATTCTCTGTGTTTCTCTGGTCATGAATAATCTTTTTGGGAATTAAACCCTAGAGTGGATTACTATGCGTTTGCCACTCCCAAACTCTAACTCTGATCTAGGACAGGATATTGGCTTCGTTTGAGATGTCAGTTTTTCCAGTTGTTGCCTATACAATAAACCATGGTTAAAACAAGCAGTGGCTTCATGCAGTGTGTCATCTCAACTCAGCTAATGAGGTTACCAGTGAGAACAGTTAACTTAGTAACGTGAAGCCTCTCAAGTTCGTAGAATTCTATCCTGAATGAAGTACCAATGGCTCTATTCACTGAAGCCATTCAATGGACCCTACAATAGATAAGCATAATTTTATATTTATAAACTTATTATGCTGGTTTCTATCCTTATTGATAATTCTGAGTTATTAGTCTACTCCTTTATTTTCATATGCTTCTGGGTTTGATATATTGTATGTGCATTCTTTCTCTCACTAATAAAACAAGAGGCACTCTAAATAATTATATACATATGATTAAACAGAGGCACTCATAGCTTCCCAATTTCAGAGTAATGTCAGAGATACAATCTATAGAGACATTGTTGGTAGCAATAACAAATGTGGAGCGTATATTAAGGCCAGCCAAAATATTACGACTTATGACCCACTTCAGTATCACAGGAGTCTTGTTTATTTGTTACTAACTAAATTGAAATCAGTAGATGATAACTTAATTTAGCATGCATTTATTATATTTTATACCACATTTATATGTAAAAATCTCAACCCTAGCATGCAAATAAGGAGAATAAAATATTATAAATAAATGGCAGTGAATTAGAACAGTAAGAATATGTACATGGGTATATTTTAGAAAACAGGGGAAGAAAGAAAAAAAATTACTTGGAGCATTCTGATAAGGAAGTCTTAAATGAAGAAATGTACCTTTATTAGTTGCTGAAAAGATTTAACAGTAAATGCCTCCTTTGGGAAGAGCATTCCAGAAGGTAGATGCAACCATAAGGAAGATCTTTTTGTGAGCAACCATGAGTAATAACTAATGAGTAAGCTGAATCACAAGCAACTAGACCTCTCTGATGACCTTAGCAAATGTATAGGCCAGTAGAGGTGAAGACTCATTGTAGGCTTTGACTTTGGCTCCTATAAATTCCCATGGATTATTCAAGAGCCTATTAGATTTCATAATCCCCAGAGACAAACTATCTTAATGGAGGGGATAGATACTGAGACCAAACTTCACCAGATGAGGCTATGACTTTGACATTGGAGTAACTTTAACACTCACCCCCCCCACCCCCAGTTATCCATTTGTGCTCTTTATCTCCCCAGACAAATATGAGGTTAAGGATATATGACCAATAACCATTTGAGATAGTCTCAGGGTTATGGTGGTGGCCAGGAAGTGCCGAGATGGGCCTTCTAGCATAGCCTTAATATGAATTGATGATCACTATATTGAAGTTCTCCAGTACTGTTTTAGAAGTCAGCTTGCTCAGATAGGCTGTTGACTCAGTTTGCCTCTCTGGTGGGGGCAAAGTAGGATTGTATTTCTGTAGATTACAGCAACTAAGTAGGGATGGTATTTCTGTAGATTACAGCAACTCTCCCCCCCCCCCCCCTATCATATCATGGAGGAATCAGAGAGAATAATAGCTGCTAGCCATGTACTCTCTACTCCTACAATATTCTTTTCTCCCAAACAGTTACCAACCCTTGCGTGTGATCCCGTGTATAACAACACCTTTACCCTTTTCTCAACACAGGTGTGTCACATGCTTTTCACATACACGTACCAAAACAATAGAACAGAGGAAATAAATAAAACACAAATATTACACAGCAAAGTGTGACAACTGCGATACCTTTGATTACACCAACTCTCTAAGTATAGTGTGTTTTCAAAAGTCAGGGATCCCACTCTCATCTAGTCACTGCCCCTCTGACTCCACTCTGCCCAGACAGGGAACCTCTCCTGCCATTTAAACTCCTAGCTCTTAGGAAGCGAGGAGATTATGTAATTATAAAGGCAAAACAACAAGAGCTACAAGGACAATTATGTCTGCAATATTGAAAATCGTTAATGCCATTATTGCTAAAGAAAAATAAATTGTAAGGATCTAGCTGCGTGAATTTCACTATCTGTAGAACTGCACATGGATAAAACCCTCAGTCTCTAATATTAGAAAGTGCTGGCCTTTCATTTTATATGAAAGATAGTATAATTGCTTGTATTATTTAACACTTCTTTAATATTAATGCTATGCAGTGTCTAAAAGCTATGCGGTAGCTGTCTGGGAGGTTTATAACCTATACACTGTAATAACAGCAGAATTCTGTTTTTCTACTTATGACATGTAAGTGCTGATAGGATAAACATAAAGCTAAAGATAGGGTCCAGGTAAAGGACTGCAGTTGGCATTTGAGTGGCGTGCCAAGGGTCACCGTGCCAAAGGAATATATTAAATTTGATGTGATGTTCTCTATGAATATGACTACAGGTAGTCCTCGCTTAATGATGGTAATTGAGACCAGCAATTCTGTTGCTAAGTGACGTGGTCATAAAGTGCAATGTCACATGACCACGCTGCCTTATGATAACAGTTGTGGCAGTCCCAGTTGTCATTAGGCGAATCTTGTGGTCACGGGATCGCCATCTGCGACCTCCTGCTGGCTTTCACATTAACTTTGCTTGTCAGAAGCCAGCAGTGAAGATCACAAATGGTGATTACATGACCATGGGATGCTGTGACCATTGTAATTGCAAGATGGTTGCCAAGTGCTCAAATCACAATCACATGAATGCGGGAACGCTGCAACGGCTGCAACTATGAGGACCCATCGTAGGTCCCTCTTGTTCAGCCCTGTCATAACTTCAAATGGTCGCTGAACGAGTGGTCATTCAACAAGGACTACCTGTATTTCTCCTTTTGGTCTCATTAAAAATGTTAATATAGTCTCAATCTTTGGAGGGGCCCTGGGAACCTCCCCCAAGACTTTGTAGGAGGCTACAGGGTTATACATACCTGTTATACATGTGACTTTTGTTATCATATCATATCAGATTTGAAGGGGCTACTGCAGCCTTGTGAAGAAGTCCACGAAACTGAATGCTAGCCACATAAGAGGTGAATCCAGTATAAAGTACAGGACAAATAGTCTCTTAACAAGTAGTCTTCCTCAAGTAGACTAGTGGAAGAAGGCCTTTGCAGCCAGTAGAAAAACCATGGAGAGATCACTCCTACACTGCTTCACTAGTCTACTCACATACTTCTGTGAAATTTTATGAACTCCCCTGGCTGGTCTTCCTGATCATTTATGCATACTGGACATGATGACAGGTCTAAACCTAGACCATTCATACAATCAGTAACATTCAATATAGAACAATATTTTAATTCATTTGATATGTGTTATTATTTTATAAAATAATTTATATGCTTCACAATGGGAAATACACACACATACAGAAACATACACACACACACACACACACACACACACACTAGGGAAATCTGGAGGTATCTCTGTTCTGGGATTCAGTGTCTTACAACAAAATGTGAGCTGAACCTATGGTGTTGGGTACTAATCATTTGTTCCAAACATTTTAGGACTAACACTAAAATTGAAGCAAGAAACTTAAATTATGGTTTGTTGTTATTATAATGAGCTCTTCTCTTTTCAAGACTTCAGGTACTGTTAATTCTGCTACAGCTTAACTACCGCTATGCCCCAACCCAGAAAAACTGTAGTTAGCTTTAGCTATGGCTAGTTGAATCAAGTCAGCTTCAAATCATAGTTTATTAAGCCAGAGCTAAATTATTTGGACTGAAAGAAAGCTATGCCAGAGGGAAGGGAAGAAGGATCAAAATAATTCTAAGAAAATGTTATTATTGTTATGACTACTACTACTACTATTATTACTGTTATTATATCTAAATTAGAGCTGTTTGACTATCTGCTGCAATGGAAGAATAAGAAGGTGACTTCTCAAGAAATATCCATCACCACAGTCAAGGGCTGGTATAACCTAGAAATAGCAAAGACCAGTTCAAGAACCAAGAATAGGGAACATTAATTCTGTCTGTTATCCCAACATTTCCATCCACCCAGGGCAGTTCATGCAAAATAAACATTATACAATATATACAGTTAGGGAAATAACAACCCTAAAACATTAAATTGAATAGCAGCACCTCATACACACTTAGGCATGTGGTGCTTCTGATGTCTAATGCAATTGAAGTAGTGAAATATGTAGTTGCCAGCTGAAGTTCAAAATGAATCATTTGGTGTCCCCCCCTTTTTTTTTTAAAATAGCCCAATCTCTGAAGGCAAACCACTAACTGTGGAAGTGAGAGGTATAGAGTATATGAACGATGATCCAGCCATGATTGATGTTCTGTATGCAAAAGTCCGTATGAAAGATGGATCCAACAGGTAAACTTTCCCCTCATTTTCTCTATATTCATTTTTAGCCCATAGAAGTATTTTATCTGGAATGGCAAAAATAATGTAATGATACTCCAAAATCCTCTCAACCTGAGTTTGATCGTATCTGTCAGGAAACATTCCACCAGACATCCAGGAGATGAAACTTCTGTTGTTCTGTACCTAGAAAGAGGCCAATACTGACTTTTACCCAAGAGTTCATACTGAAAGACGTAAGATAGCTTCCACTTGTGCAATTGCTACTTGTTCTGAATAGTTCAAAAACCAGGAACTTAATACTTAAAAAAATGATAAAAGATTTCCATTCTTACAAGATTTAATTTCTGGGCCTAACTGAAGAAAATTACCTCTACCTGGCCATGTTTGCGTACACAATAGCCCAGTTATTCAGTAAGCATACATTTTCTGGTCCATGCTTCTTTCTCTCTCTTGGCTTCTTCTGCTCAACAAACAATGGAAGGAAGTTACCATAATGTGCAAACAGGGATTTCTAATTTCTCTCTCCAAAGGAGACAGGAATCAAAATGGAAACTAATGATAAACAGTGCCTTCTGACTCTGACTTATTAGTGGGGAAAACCTAGATTCCTGGTTTGCATATCATGCTAAACAGAGCAAGAAGCTTCTGTGGTTGGTTTAACCATTCTCTCTGAAAGAAGGGAGCAAGTAGACATGACCAACGTACCATGCTTCGTCAAAATGCTGAACAGTTCTGGTTAGCCATGAAGTGTGAATGCAACCACTGTCTGTACACATATTATTTAATTAATCAGCTACCAACTTCATAGTATTCTTTTTTCCCCTAAATTATGTTGTGTGTTATTTCTTTCTTTACAAATGCAAAGTCTTAAGTATTATTGGACCATTTTACTTCTTTTCCAAATGTGCACTAACTGTTTTTCTTCCTTCTCCTTTGTCTTTCATATGTATCTGTGATTCCCCCCAAGAAATATCAGAGAACATAATTAATCAGATTTTTGTAAATCCTTTTAAATTAAACTTTTGTTAAGATGAGAATTACCATATTTTTCTTTACTTCAGTTTTCTGCCTTTTGGCAACTTGTGTGATGTTCATAGCATTAAAGATGGATTCTAATCAGTGCTGGAATTTATATTTTTTAAAAACCAAGTGTCCATAGCATTAGATCTCTTTCAAGAGGGAGTAAGTAAAACCTGCACTCTCAGAGTATAAGCATTAGTTTACTAAAGATTTAGGCATGCTCAGTAGATTCTCTCCTGTCGTTCTGTTTATCTCTGAAATCGTGCAAGTAAATAATATGCATTATTACAAAAATCACCTCTTTTCCTACATTACCATTAAGCTAATTCATCCATCCTACTTTTGGCAGTGTGAGAGCTAGATGTACTTTTGATTTTTGTTTCACCTAAATCCACAATTCTACAAAACAGAAGAGTCCAGTTTCCCTCCATTGCCTTGATGTTATTGGAAAAATTTTCTGATTTTGACAAGAGGGGGAGAAAGACGATGAGAAAAGTTATGCTGTAATGATTCCCATGTAGCAAGGCCTCTCATTATAATTTAATCTGTTTTATTTCCTTGGTTTTATGATATAATGAAGCATGCTTTTATTTGAGATATTTTATTAATTGTTGAGGTATCATACCACTTTTCATTTGTCATCTCTAATTTCAAAAATGTATCTCCAGAAAACATGAGATTCAGATTGAACAGCTAGAAATTAGCTGCAACAGCCTCACAGGGTCAACTCAAAGCCAGCAGGCTATTACATTAGCTCATCAAGAATTATCAAGCAAATGGTGACTAGAGGGGAAGAACATCTCTGAGCAAGACCTCATGGGTCAAGCTGGAAACCTATAACTGGGAAAGTGTGAACTATCCAGCAAATTACCCTCCTGATGGGTTTAGCACAAAGAATATATAAGATTGCATATATGTGTGATGATCTTTTGTTTTATTGGATAGGATTATTAGATTTTAATTATTGTTCCCTGGCCATGCTGGTCTTAGATAATGAATGCTTTGTTTCATTTAGACTTGTGTTCCTCTTCTGGTTTACACATGTAGTTTGCAGTTGACAATAGTATGGGTCACCACACTTCTCTGTATGATTGTGGAGTGGGGGGTGGAAATTACTTGCTTGTTACTCCACTGTCAAGTTTTACATACAGTATTTTACAAACTTCCTGGTTCCTTAATCTGACTCTTAAATAAGTGAAGTCTTCCTGAACTCAAGCTTGACTACTGGTGACTTCATGGAGACTTCTTTGTTGCTTTCTTGACAACAGTATGGAAGTAGTTTGCCACGTTATTTCGACTTCCCAATCTAGCAACAACCCTAGGATTTCCTGGTACATTCCCATAAAAGTACTAGCCAGGTCTAACCTTATTCAGCTTTGCTGAAATCAGGAAAGTTTGACTTTAAATAACAAACAGCTGTCAACAGAATTGGCATCATCTTGAAACCTTTAAAATGCAGCACCAACATATTTTCTCAAACACTTTATGCATAAAAATAAGCACTGATTATGGTACTTGGACCAAACAAGTTAATATTTTCCATAAACTAATTTGTGATTCCACTGTTTTGGCCAGAACTCCATTTAGGGGCATGTGCTTTAAGTTGGGAGTGATGCTTGCATCCTTTCAGTTTCCTTCATTCAGTTCCTACTCTGGACAACCATAGTATCAGGGCAAAGCTTCTATGAATGTTCTTCAAATTGTGCTTTGAATAGAATAAGACAAAATTATTCAATCAGAGCTCTAAGGTGTTACAGCATTTTCAACCCATGGAAGTAATTCACAGATAAACCATGGAGCTAAGCTGAATCTAGGAATTCAGTTACAGATAGTCCCCTACTTACGAATGGGTTATGTTCCAAGAGGCTGTTTGTAAGTCCGTTTTGTTCGTAAGTCCAACAAGCAAAAAAAAAAAAAGGTGGAGGCAGGAGGCAGGGCAGCGGTGGAGGCAAAGGAGCCCTATCTTCTGCCAATGTGTCGCCAGGTGAGGCAGGAGAGGGGATGGTAGCGGAGAGGGCAGCGAAGGATGAGCTGGTGGGGCACAGTGCACTCCATTGCCTGGCGAGGCAGGAGACCTGTGCCCCCTCTCCCCTGTTCTCTGCCACCGCCGCCTCTCCTGCCTCACCTGGCCACAGAGCACGCTGCATAAACTAACCCTTTCCCACCTTCTCCTGACTTCCAGTTCCAATTTCTGGCCTGACTTCCGGTTCTATCCTGTTCATATCAGTGAAAGTTCACAACATGAAAGTTTGGAAGTAGAGGACTGTCTGGTAAAATACGCACCCCATTGCCAGGCCCACTAGGTAGACCAGACCAGAAAACTAGCTCCACAGGAAGACCAGAACTACACCTTATTGAGATAAGTTATAATAACAGAATTTTGCAAGTCTAATGGTGCTGTACCTCCTCCTTTTTATAGTTCAGTGAATTAAGGATACATCTGCCTGAGCAGCTTCCAAATGTTATCTTGCTTCCTGAGACTTAATAATGTTTCAGCCTCTCTGCTTAGGTAACATCCCTTGCGTATTTCTGTCAAGGTCATCTCCATTACTTTCTACCCCTCATTAGTGTTGACTGGGACTTATTTTTGCCGGTGCTCAGAAAATAAGCTTGTTCAATTGAAGCTCTCTGTGTTAATGGTGCTTCATTGTGGATTGCTTCTAACACAGTCATTTCAAAAATAATGTGTAGCTTGTGGCACTCTCAGTTTTGTTTGTCATTTATGGAGGTAATATTTGTTACACAGTAAGGATTTTTGTGCTCTAGGTGGTGTCAAAGGCCAAGTCAACAGACAGCTGTTATAATGTTGAGAGCAAAAGTCAATCATCTTGAGAGAGATTGTGCTAAAGGCAGGATATATTAAGTGTGGAGTTTATACTCATTCTTCCATATAAATTCATAGGATCAAATGTCTGACCTCTTCATCTAATGGAAACGTGTCTCAGGAAAATAAAGTGATCCAAACATGTTAGGACCAGGAAGGATAATTTAAAACCATTGCTGGCACACCTTTTTCTCCAAGGATTCCCCAGTAAAACATACATGTGATAGGTTGCCAGTGATCAGGTATGAACCTTCTGACAACCTTTAGTCAGTCCAGCTGGGAATTCTTAGGCCTTCTGCCCCAGATTGCTCCCTACAGCCCAGTTTTGGGGAAACTAGAAGGAAAGGTGCTTTGGATCTTTCCATCAATGCT